ACTTGTCTTCCCGCATTTCACAGCAAAATCAGCCCAACGCATCTGTTAGTGAAATCAAAACCAGTACATACTAAACATCTATTATGCCCATTTTTGGTGAGTTATTCCATGTGGGCAGCAAATAAAGCTGCAAAGAACATAACCCTGTTTTCCAAGAGGGCATTCATCACCACTATGCACCACTTTAACTGAATTCACCCATTTTGCTGTTGGTCATCCTCTCTTTCACCTGTCTGCATGACAGAGAGACAGACAGAGAGAGCAAGTGCCTCTGAGCAAGTGCCTCTCTCTGTCTCTGCAAATGGCAGAGGAGGTTGGGAGCCGCAGCAGAAGGCTCAAAGAGCCGCATGTGGCTCCGGAGCTGCGGGTTGCCGATCCGTGGTATAGGCATTTCATAGCATTCGAATATCTTATCCATGGCTTTCATAGCTGCTCTACCAAGTGCTAGCCTGAAGCAATTTTCTTCACTATTTGTTCCTTTACTGTTGATAGTTGATCTTAAAAGGCAGAAACTATTCACCACTTTGATATCTTCATTACCATTTCTAAGGTTGGTCGTTCTAACTGTGGTCATTAGTTTCATCTTCTTTATATTTAATCTTAGTCCCCTTTTTCCACTGGGCTCCTTCATTTTTATTATTAGAACCTGTAGATGCTTTGCATTTTCTGCTATGAGGGGTAGTATCATCAGCAAAGCAGAGGTTATTGATGCCTCCATTTTAAAACAAAGCTCATCTTATCCCAATCCAGATTCTACAATAAAGTTTTGCCAGCTTAAATTTATAATTTAATTAGTGATAAGCTTGCCTCATAAGATCAGATTAACTTTCATTCTTTTACCCTTCAATAAATTGATAAAAACTATTCTCCACTAAGCTAAAAGAATTAGTTTTAATTGGAGGATGGCAACTGAGACAATTTTATGTCATATACTTTTAATGCTTTACTACTGTAAGCCACTGAGAATTTTAAAATATATAAATTATTGTAATATCACTCCAGGTATAATCAATACTATTTTCAACATTATCCATGTCAATCCATGACTATTAGTCATATCAATTTCTACATTTTCCATGTAAATGTTTTTGAGTATGTTGCAGCAACACAACTACAAATACAATGAGACTGAATGGTCTCCCTAATCAAAGAGGGATCATGTTGCAAAGGTTCAGCATAAATATCATAGTGTTTCCATTTACCTTGAGTTTTTTGTTCAAGCAGCCTTCTCCTTTCATCCATGTCTTTTTCAGGAATGCCTTCCATACCATATATTTCCAGTTCAATATCAGTTCTTCCTGGTATTGCATTTGGAACAGCATCAATTGTTTCCTTATGTACCTTAAGAAAGAGAAATCCAAGCTAACGTAAACAGGACGTATATTAGAGACTATAACTATAGAGCTTTAAGTTTAGATGTCCATTTAGCTATGAAGCTTACCAGATTCAATCACAATATCTTAATTTAATGTTAAAATTAAAAGATAACCTTTTTCCTGGTTTAGCTACTACTAACACCAGGAAGAGCCATAGCTTCCTTAAGTTGCTATCAACAGTTAGAACAAACACGCTAACACTGTTGGTGTTCTCAAATCTTTTTCAATTGGGATTTGAATATTCTAGCTTTTGTTTTCTTGAACAATTCTGGAAATCTGCAAATCAATTCAAAAATGTTTGGGCCATATTCTAAAAGAAAAACAGAATCTACAGGTACCAAATCACGCCAGGATGGAACGTTCTACATAACTTGTCTTTCACTTTTATTAATAGATACTTTCAAAACTTTAGGTGACACCTCTCCATATATACCTATTATCAATTTTGCTTATTTTCTGATCAAATAACTCCAATCTTCTACTGATGCAGTCATTCTTATAATGTGGGTAATCTTCGACTTTAGCTGCTGTTATGATGAACCCCAAAAAAATATATACGATCTTGATTTGAAGTTCTGCTAACGCTCCATTCATATTTTGGACATTTGGCATTTACTTCCAGTTTCTGGCAAAAAATGCCCGCTGTGGACAATGGGTTTATTTAACAATCATGGTGAGTTGCTTAATAACCCATAGCAAAAAATGTTGTAGAATCAGATGGGCCACATAACCCACTTAACAACCAGCATGACCTAGGGCACTAACTCTGGGTTCTATTACAGTCATTAAGTCAAGGACTACTTGTACATCAAAGGCATTTGTGAATAACAAATTACTAAAGCTTTCATTTTCTTAAGAATGTAAAGATTATAAAACAAAAGCATATATAAACAATAACACAAATAATTCTATATATGAGGTTTATTATGGTACTTACCTGCATACAATGTATAGCTAAACCAGGCCCAGTATACAGTTTCTTATGACATATATGGCATTTAAAGTGCTTTGCTTTTTGGTGCTGAATAAGAATTTTCTCATCATCAAAATCCCTGTTACAATACCTATTCCACATTGTTAAAGAAGTCAAACATATAAGTTAAACTTAAGCCTATATGTTAGTCAACATTGCTATAATCAGTTTTAAAGAAAGCTATAAAGGTAACACATTTCTAATTAAATTTCAATTACTTTTATAAATCAGGATTTCACAAATCTGATACATTTTCTCATCAGGAAAGGCAACTTACAAAGTTACCAACTTATAAAGTGAGTCTAAAGGTTGAATCATGGCAACTAGACCAAACTTTGTTAATGTGAGATGTTTCACTGCTCATTCAAGCAACTTCATCAGTCAGAGCAAAACTGGCTAGGCAGAGTTAGAGAGTTGTTAGAATGCACCAACTCTTGCCAAATCAACTTCAGGGGTTTCTCCTCCAAATGGCTTGCAATGTGTCAATGAAGACTCAATCATCCAGGCCAAAGGTGTATAAAGTGACTATAACTCCCATGTTAAATGATAGGATGAGGAATTTTCAAGGTTAGAACCCCACAATTTTTTATGTGCTTAATAGCCAAGCATTGTTTACAATACTATTTTGCACATATGTTCTTTGCTCATACTACAGGGTTTGGGATAAGGGAATGCCCATGCTGACTCTCTTAACATACAGAAGTAACAATGTTGTTTCTCAACCTGTTCAACTGTACTGTTGGTTTTGCTTTTTTGAAAAAAAATGGACAGTCAGCTTATATTCAAGAGTCACCTTATCTGGGAAATGGATAGCATATAAATTTGTGTGTGTGTGTGTAAAGCTACCACAAAGGAAGAACAAAACTATCCAATACTTAATAAACGTCATGCCACTTTCTCAACTTAAGCTACCGAGAGGAAAAGAGAAATAAAATCTAGGTATCTGGCAAACATCCAGCAAACACAGGCTACAGTTTCGGCCTACTACTCCAGCACGATATCCATAATTTAACAAAATATGCCTTTTGTATCCATAAATATTAGGGCAAATAGTCGTAGGGCGTGAAGCTTAGCGACGGCAGCAGCCCATACTGTAAGAACGGAGATGCTGCTGAATAAAAACACGCACACACACAAAAAAAACCCCTAACCTATTTTCTCTTGAATACAGGTATACCATTTCTAATTTCCCAAATGGAGCAGGAACAAAGGGGGTGGGGCGTGAATCCCAAAAGGCGGCAGCTCTGAAGCTCTTTATGGCTCCGGCTCTGCAGCCGAAGAAATCCGGACGACTATTATATGGCAGTGAAAAGCGAGAGCTTTTCGAAACGTCTTTCCTGCCGTCGCCCCCTCCCCTCAATAAAACAGGCCGCCGAGGCGTTCCAACACCGGAGGAAAGAGGCCGCTACCCGAAGCAGGCCAGTCGGGCCTCCCTCCCGATTTGAAACGAGAGGCAGCGGCCCTCCGCGTCGAAAAGGATACCAGCACCAAGGCTTTAGCTGCTTCTTCTTCTTCCGACCCATGGCGGAAAGGCAACGGCTCGGCCGGCAAAAACCTCCAAAAACAGCGAATGTGTCGGAGCGCGACCGCCGACCGCGCGAACTCCCCTCTTCTCCGCTTCTCAGCCAGGCATAAAATGGCCGCTCCTCCGCCGAATCCCTCGCCGTCCCAAAATGCAACGCGGGGAGGGAGGGCACGTGTATGGTCGAGGAGACCTCACCAATTGTGACGTCACCCGTTCTTTCCCGGCATGCGGTGCAGCGGAAATTATCTTCTAGTCGATGCGCGCGTCTTGCCCGCGTGGGTTGGTTTTTGTGGGTGTTCTTTCCCCTTAACGATTCTTTTAAAACACTGAAGTTTTACTTCGGGAGAGAGATGCGCAGGAGGCAGCCAAGCTCAATATCCTTGTCCTAAAATTGTTGCTTGCCGTTCTTTAGTTTAGAAATAGTGATGACTTTCATGTTCCTTCCACCCGAATAAGATTGTTTCTGCAAATGAATCAGATTCTTCCAGCTCGATGAGATCTTTTTTAAAAAAACTGCGAGGATGCCGCTGCATCTTCGAAGGCTTATGTAGCTCAATCTTGTACCTGCGTGCTAGGAAATGAATCCCCTTAAGATTCAGTGGAAAGCTAACGGTATTATAATTGAACATTGAGAAAATCTGTGGCGTTCTGAAAGAGCATTAAGTTAGACAAGGACTAACTAACAATTTGACCGTCCCATCACGTATATGCCTATTTGAGTTCTACTGAGATCAGTAATTCGTGTGTAAATCAAATCAATTTATTATAGCCCAAAGGTTAGAAGTAAACATAAACAAGTTTACAATTAGAATGACTTTTATTTAGACAAATCGTGAATGTAAATCCACTGATTTCAGTGACAATAAACTAATGCCGATCCAATACAGCGTGCTGAACCGATTTTTTAAAAACTCCGAAAAATTGGGGAATGAATGTTAACTGAACCAAGGCGAGTCTTGAAGAGACACGTGTGTGCGCGCGCGTGCGCGTGCGCCTGCAACATCCTTCCAATTTCAGGAGTCCACGGCTGCCTCTGTCTTTTGTCGGCCGTGACAACGTGTTTGTGACCGGAACCTTTGTGACGTTATGTGGACAGAGTGCGGAGCCGAGAAGAATAGAGCGTTGCGCTGTACGGCAATAGGGGGAACGGATTTTCTTTGCTTCGAGTTCGCAAGCAAAGATGTTGCCTTCCCTTCAGGAGTCCGTAGACGGAGATGAGAGAGAGCTGGAGAGCAGCGAGGAGGGAGGCGGCTTGCCCGAGGAACCGAAACCGGAGCGTAGCAGCAACAGTTACCACTGCTTGTACGGCTACCGAGGCTCCGGGTAAGAGAGCGGCAGCTGCTCCGCTGGGTCTTGTGTTTCCAGCCTGAATCATAAAAGGCTGCAGATCTCTCTTACCAATCCTTCATCGTGTTTTATGATAATCCAGCCTTTCCGAATTTGGGGGTCTTGGATGAATTCATTTCGCGGTCCCACCCCGTTGGCTGAGAGCGATGGGGCTTGTTATTCAATTCATCTGGGGTTCACCGGATTAAATGTTTGGTAACAGTAAAAATGGTTGATCGAATAAATCCAATTACTTTAGTCCAGTTTCTAGTTTCCATCTGTGATCATGTAGAAGGTTATGTCTGCTCATGAAATCTTGCCTCGATTCCCCCCCCAGGGATATTGATTTTCCTTCAAAGGACTATTGTGCATGTTTCCAACCAATACGGTCCTGAACTTTCTTTTGCCAATTGGGCCTACAATACTTGCTTATGTCGTGGATCCATCTTGTTGTAGCTCTCTTTTGTGGATGCTTTTTATCAAGTGGGATCCATTCTATGACTGCCTTGGTCTTCCGGCCTTCAGTTCTTCCTGCTGTGTTGACCAGCCCGTTTCCATTTCAATTCTTTTACTCTCTTGATGGCATCATATACTTTTGTTTGTTCTCTAATGATCCATGTGCAGGTCTTTCTATCTTGTCTTGTGATGTTGGAAACATGCGGAAGAGGCCTTCATCCTGCAATGGATTGGCAATGACTAAAATGATGATGATGATGATGATGATGCAAATGAGAGCCAGTTTGCTGTAATATAGTGATTAAGGGTTCAGGCTAGAAACTGGGAGATCATTAATTCTAATCCCATCTTAGATACAAACCCAGATGGGTGACCTTGGACCAGTCCCTATCGCTAAGCTCTAGGAAGCAAGCAATGGCAAACCACTTCTGAAAAACCTTGCCAACAAAACTGCAGGGACTTGTCCAGGCAGTCTTCAAAAATCAGACAGAATTAACAGAAAACAAATTGCTATTAAAGGAGGTCTGTCAACAGATGAATTTATCTAATGAAACTCTTCTGGGTTGTTCAGCGGGCTGCTCAAAACAAGGTACCATTTGCCCATTGTGAATCCAAAGTACTCCTAGAGTTGCCTATTCAATTCCCAGAAATCCCAATCTGCTTTTCCCAGTCCAGGTTTTCATTCCCTCTCCCTTAGAACAATGATAGTAATAATGATAAGTGTTGGAGTTTTCTATAACCACATGCATTTTGTCTTGACATTCATAATTAGTTTGACTTTTTCAGATTACACCAGGGAACAGGCAGTGATGTTGGGAGTCCAAGCAAATTGTCAGCTGAAACACCTTCAGATGACTTCAGGTAAATGAACTTGGCAGAATGATTTTGCGTGCTGTATCTTGGATTGTTATAATAGAGGGGTATGTGCATATCACTTGTTCCCATTAACCGTTTTTAATTGTTACCAAACATGTAACTTGATGCATTATGAATGCACAAGTGAATTCTTTCTGGATCTGATTTAAGGCTGTGCTTTTGTTCTAATTTCTGAATAGGTTGAGGGCCAACTATCTGAGGAGTTCCCTAGCTCAGTGTAAACTGTTCGTTTAAGGCAGTGGTTCTCAACCTGTGGGTCGGGACCCCATTTGGGGTTGATCGACCATTTCACGGGGGTTGCCAAGCAAGGCTGTCCGCCATTTTTTTTGTCCGCCATTTTTTTGTCTGCCATTTTTTTCCCCTTTTCCGGCGGGTGCCTTACTTCCCTTGGTCTGGGCCAGCTGGTGGTCGGCCTGCTCCGTCTCTGCCGCTTGCCAGCTATGCCTCGGCTGGCGCAGGGGGCGGAACCACGCATGTGCGGCGCTCCTGGGCAGGGAAAGTCCTCGACTTACGACTGGTTGGGTAGTCCTCGACTTACAACCAGTTTAGTCCTCGACTTACGACCGGTTTAGTCCTCGACTTACGACTGGTTGGGGTCGCGGCATTAAAAAGGTTGAGAACCACTGGTTTAAGGCTAGCTGGAGTATCTTGACAAAGATTTCTTACTTTCCTAGGCCGATTTGTCAAGCATGTGGAATTGCACTCATATCCCATTCTTTCTATAATGAGATGGTAGAAGCAATAATGATGTGGCAAACATCTCAGAAGGGACCCACCCCCCCCACCCCCTGTTTTTAGGGAGGAGGAAGAGATGTACTTTCAGACTAGCAAGATTCTGATGATATCACCTTACAATAAAATTGTAGCTACTACAGGTAGTTCTCGACTTTCAGCCGTTCATTTAGTGACCGTTCAAAGTTACGATGGCACTGAAAAAAGTGACTTATGACCGCTTTTCACACTTATGACCTTTGCATCATTCCCATAGTTACGTGATCAAAATTCAGACACTTGACAACTGACTCATATTTATGACGATTGTAGTGTCCCAGAGTCACATGATCACTTTTTGAGACCTTCTGACAAACAAAGTCAATGGAGAAGCCAGATTCACTTAACTACTGTATTACTAACGGTAATATGGTTACTAGTGATTCACTTAACTGTGGCAAGAAAGATCGTAAATGGGACAAAACTCACTTAACAAATGTCTCACTTAGTAACATAAATTTGGGGTCCAATCGTGGTCGTAGGTCGAGGACTACCTGTATTTCTGGGTGTGCTTCTTACCTGGAATTCCTCATAAGGCTGACATCAGTCTTGCAAGTCTCAAAGGGCTTCTCTCCCCCATTTGTCTTTACCATCCAAGAAACTAGAGAGGGACCCTTCTGAGAAGTTTGCCATGCCCATGTTGCTTCTGTGGGCTAAGCTGCCTCTTATCTGACTGTTGTCACTTCTGCAGCTCTTCCTCTTTCTGTCTTCTGACAGATTATTTATGAATCTAAGTCCAGCCCACCTTGAATTCTTTTTGACTCTTATCTATCACCAATTTGTTTTGACCTTTAGTAGTTCAGATTCTTGTGGAGGAGAATATTAGCGTACAATTCACCTATATTCATTTGAACTGCCTGGACTCCTTATTTCCTGCGCTTGACAAGTAAATATAAAAAGTATGAGAGCTCATTAATATATATTTTTTATGTATTTCCCAGCCTGGAAGAAATTTGTCAACATTCTAAGAACAGATACTTAAAAAGAAGCGAACTAATTTTATTGCTACTATTACAAATGGAACTCCTGTTCCTAGTATGAGCAGTGAATAAGGATAATTATAGAAAGGGGGGGAGGAGACCAAATCAAGGAAAATTTAATTGAGAAGTTTATGGTCCTCAGTTCTATGCTTTCGTTCCTGTCTGTAATTCATGCACATTGAAACATATGGAGTTGTACCATAGTTCAAATGATTGAAGCGTGCAACTTTGTGGCTCTTGGTTTTATTACAAGTAGTGTTTTGATTGTTTATTTAAATGGGACATGCCTGGAACTTCATACTCAACTGGAAGTGGTATCTTTTTCTTTGAAAGTTTGACAATTATTCTCAAGTACTAAGGACTGGTCTATAACTAAATAGATACAATGAAGCTCTATCTTACCTAATCATGGTTTTTTATTTTGTTTTTATTTCATTTATGAAGCATTTCATTGGTGGACACTAATTTACCAGCTGAAGCTGAGATGGAATTGCGCAGTTTGGTTGCCAAGCATCTTAACAAAGGAGCTTTGTTTGAGGGGATGGGCAATGTTGTAACTGTCGAGTTGAGGTAAGGCTGTAGATATGTGCTGGGACTTCCAGTGATATCAAGCAATTTTAATTAATTGTAGATTTCTTAATAAATTAGTGATACCATTTTTTTTACTAAATTGTGTGTAAACAAAATGGAAATGTCGTTTTAAGTTTTGTTTTACAAGTCAAAGATTGAACAGTGCTATTTCTGAATTGTCTCATCCTTGTCATGCCTTTGAAGTGTTGGTTGCAGAACAAAGTAAAACAAGCTCTTCTCCCTCCCAGCTCAAAAAACTCTTCTGCCTTTTAGAATGATGTTCTGGTCCTGATCCTGTGGTATTTTTAATATCGGTCCAACTAAACTAAGTTGTGGAAATTACAGGTAGTCCTAGACTTACAATCACAATTGAGGGCAAAATTTCTGTTGCTAAGTGAGATCATTGTTAAGTGAGTTTTCCCCATTTTGTGGTCTTTCTTGCTACAGTTGTTAAGTGAATCACTGCAGTTGTTAAGTTAGTAACACAATTGATAAGTGAATCTGTCTCCCCCATTGACTTTTGTCAGAAAGTCTCAAAAGGTGATCACATGACCCCAGGATACTGCAACTATCATAAATATGACTCAGTTGCCAAGCATCTGAATTTGATCACGTGACTACGGAGGTGCTACAGCGGTCATAAGCATGATAAAACAGTCATAAGTCACTTTTTTCAGTGCCATAACTTTGAATGCTCACTAAATGAACTGCTGTAAGTTAACTATTTGTATTCATATACATACTCATTATCTAAGCTCTTAATGACAGCTTTAATAACTGTAAAATTAAGGGTTTCAAGAGCTTAAGCTTACAAAAGACAATATGCATATACTCTGAATTCTGAACTATAAACTTCATCTTACTATTATTCAATGAATGTTCTCTTCATCAATGAAAACAGGTAGAATAAGCTTATACTGAACTCTGATAGTGAGCTAGGTGCCTGGCAATATATTTCATGTTTACATTTAATGGGAGTGTGAATACATATACCACTGCAAGGGCTAGCCCTTTGGAGGGAGGGGGGGTTGACTTTTGTGTATCATTAAATAAATATAGGATCTAGTGCAAGGGTCTTCAAACTTGGCCCTTTTATGACTTGTGGACTTCAACTCCCAGAATTCCTCAGCCAGCATGCCTAGCTGAGGAATTCTGGGAGTTGAAGTCCACAAGTCATAAAAGGGCCAAGTTTGAAGACCCCTGATCTAGTGAATCTACAGGCTTGTAATCACCACACATGAAGCACTACAAGTAGTTAAGGCAACTTCTGGTCCTCTAGAGGGTGCTGCACTAAAACTCTGAACATTTTGCCTCACTGGCTGTGCTGGCTGGTATTGAGGGGATTAATATTTTAGCAACACCCGATGGAAGATGGCAGGTTTCCCAACCAGGAAGTACAAGAGCGTCCGTTAATTGTTGCATCACACTGCCAGCCAGGCAGAGGGCTGTTGCATAGAATTGTGTAGATGTTTCCTCATGTTGTAATACTTCAGGGTGGGGGGATGGGGGTGGAGACTGCAGTGCTCAAGACTACAACTCCATCTGCCAGTCAACCATAGGCGGTCAGTGCTCAAACGGGCAAAATGAAAATATTTTCTGCAATTTTTGCAGAAATTAGGATGGGCTAAAAATGGAAACAAGAGTAGGAGGTTTCCGGCAGGCAAACCCACTCTTATCAGAAAAACCAGTCGAAATTGCAGTTTCAAAGGAAGAGCCCTCCCTTCCTTCCCTTAAAAAAAAAAAGTGCTGAGTTGTTTTGCCACCAAAATGGGTGCTACAGTATTAGAAATGGGATGCTGAAGTTTACAGGTTGCCCACCCCTGCTGTACAGCTCTTGTTTAAAAGGAACTCCCAATTTAATGGTGCTATTCCCAGGTTAATGAACAACTGTATATGTGATTAGAGCCTAAATCAATTTTAAAGTATTGCCTATTGTGTGCTCTTTGCAGTTTTTTGGAAGGGCTGAACTTATTAAGAATAGCACGGCTAATACTGGTGCCTGATCATCCTTGAAAAGCTAAGGAGGGTCAGAAAGAGATAGGACTTGGATCCTGAGCAACCAGGAACTGCTAAGCTAGATGATGAGTCTGGGAATTGGAAGGCAAGAGCAAATTACATTCATAATATTGTCGAGAAAACAAGAAGAACTTATCCGGCAGAAATAGTCTTCAAGAGTATTTTTCCTTTTGTTTTCCTGAGAATATTTAACAGCATTTAATTCATCTGATCAGTTTAATGACCATTTCATCCCTTTAAAAGGCACATATTGAGTTTGGTTGGAAAACTTGTAAATAGAGTGAAGGGTCCCAGCAGAAATTATCAGCAGACTTTGCTACCCACCCTACATTTTTTCCTTGGTACTGGAATACTAGACAAGGGAGCCATGAATTCCTCATCTAATCTCTGTCTGTTTTAATTACTCTTTCATTCATACCATTCTTTGATCCGCTGAATTTTAAAAAGCAGGCTAGAGGGCAGGAATAATCTCTTCCAGGGACTAGATCTAGCCAGAGAAATGCTAAATGACAACTCCACCCAAACGCATTGAGAGTTAGCGATTTTTGGTTTCTGAAACACTCGTTTTGGCTATGTTTTATCTTTATTTAATCCATTTCATGTTTATAGACTATAGGTAGTCCTTGACCTATGACCACAATCTAGCCCAAAATTTATGTTGCTTACTAAGGGAGGTAGTTATCAAATGAGTTTTGCTCCATTTTGCAACTTTTTTTGCCACAGTTCTTAAGCAAATCACTACAGTTGTTAAGTGAATCACACGGTCATTAAGCGAATCCAGTTTCTCCCATTGACTTGGTTTGTCTGAAGCCAGCTGAGAAGCTTACAAATGATGATCACACGACCCCGGGATGCTGCAACTGTAATAAACACTTGCCAGTTGCCAAGCAACCAAATTTTGATCATATGACCGTGGGGATGCTGTGATGATCATGAGTGTGAAAAACGCTCATAAATTGCTTTTTCGGTGCCGTTATAACTTCGAACAGTCACTAAACGAATGCTTGTAAGTTGAGGACCACCTGTACACAGGAATAGCAGGCGAGTGATTTGGCTTTCCATTCACCAGCACTGGTCTGAGGTGGAATCAAGAGGCTGACAGAAATATGAAGCAAAGTGTATTGACTGGAGTTAACAATCTGTGTAGATTCTTGCCTCTGGAGGTTGATTCTGACTGAATTAAAATAAGGGCTTCGTTTGTAATGAGATCGATGAACAGGTAAACCGCAGTGTGAAATACAGCATTAAACTAATTTGGTGCAACCACCCCTGTGATTAATTCAGTATTCCAGAAACTCGAGTTGGTTGTTATTACTGCCTGTTCCAGCCAGAAAAATGTGCAGAAGGAGCTGATCCTGAATCGAGGGAGAGTCCCTTGGAGTACGTTATCTGTTTTTTGGGAGGCTCAGAGAAAGGACTTGAACTATATCCTTTTACTCTTATTTCTGTCTGGGTTAAAATGGGGATGAAGTAGGAAAGTCCTTTTTTTTTAAAAAAAAAAATCCCTTTGTTCCGATTCATACACATTCCCAAATTATTTTTTTTAGGTTTCTAAGAATATCAGTTATACCCTCCTTACCCTAAAGCAGAGGTAGGCAACCTTGGCTCTTTTATGACTCGGGGACTTCAATTCCCAGAATTCCTGAGCCAGCCATGCTGAGGGGAAAGGGAGAGGTTTCCATGCTGAGCCATGCTGGCTCAGGAATTCTGGGAGTTGAAGTCCACGAGTCACAAAAGAGCCAAGGTTGCCTACCCCTGGTCTAAAGACATGGCTGTGCCAGTCGGTTTGGGGCCCCAGTAGGGGAACAGCACAATGGAGGTGGTTGATTGAGTAATAATGGATACCACCTCCCCCCCCCACTTCACCCCACCCTCCCCATTTGATTTTAACATTTTATGTTTTAACTAAGATGTATCTGTAAGCCACCCAGAGTTACCCGATGGTAAGATGGGCAGCCAATACATTTTATAAATAAATAAATAAATAAAAATATCTGGATGTTTAAAATATCTTTAGCAGACGTGCAGCACATCAGTTATAAAATGAGTTAAACATAAAGATTAGGCAGAACCAAAGCATTATTTCCTTAAAAGTGATACATTCAGACTTGAGCTTGATGGATACATTCAAGATATGAAGACTTATTTAGATTCAAAGGTAAGTCTTGATGAATAAATTTGAATTTAATAAATTTTGAATGACTCCTTCAGTTTTTCTCCCCCCCCCCACAAGATGGAAAACGTTGGTTGCTTTATGAGCAGTTTATCAAACTGAGATGCTTGGAAGTTATTTTGAGTTCCCTGTGAAGATCCCTAATCAGAATTGCTTATCTAGGATAAGGAAGGCTAGCTGAGGAAGACAAGTTCATTTTCATGATCCTCAATCACTTAAGGTGGCATTAGAGAAATCTTGATTAAAGAAGCTTTATCTCACTTCCCAGGCACTGGTGTGCTGTAGGCCTGTTTTTTGTGCATCTCCGTGGTAGAGTAGAAAAGGGATCTGGCATTTCCAAGTTACTTAGCAAGAAACTAGTTTCTGTTTCAAGATCAAGATGGAAAATTGTTTGCTACCTTGTAGTTGGAAGAGAAACAGGCTAATCTGACTGTTGATTCTCCTGCATCTCTTAGCGGTTTCCAGTATTATCTGCATGGTGTCCCTCTAGAGTGTTCATGTTGCTTGAGAATTGAAAAATTGGCCTTCAAGAATTTTGTTTAGAGTTTATAGTTGTTCTGTGGGAATCAAGCTCTTTATGAGCGTAATTATGTGGAGAACCTCAAGATTGTCATACTTCGTACTATCTCTGTGAAAATATTGGACATCATTCAAGCTAAGGAGTGTTGTGTCACCCACATGCCACCAACAGCCGTGGTGATGCAGTGGTTAGAATGCAGTATTGCACGCTGACTCTGCCGACTGCCAGCAGTTCGATCCTGAACGCCTCAAGGTTGATTCAGCCTTTCATCCTTCTGAGGTTGGTAAAATGAGGGCCCAGATTGTTGGGGGCAATATGTTGGCTCTGTAAATCGCTTAGAGAGCGCTATAAAGCACTGTGAAGTAGTACATAAGTCTAAGTGCTATTGCTATTGACGCTTTGACACCCAGCACACCGAGATCTCTCTTAGTTTTGAATGTGTCACTTTTGAATGAAGCTAATATAGTTCTTCTCTCTAAAGAGAAATCTTGAAAGAAGTATCTATTCTAGTTTGCAGATTACTTATGGGCATATAGGAAAATTCAAATGCTGTCTTTACAATAGCTTGGCATCCCTTATTGGGGATTTGCCTTTGCCTAGTAGAGTTGCCTGGTCTTTGCATGTGGGCTGGTGCTGGCACAAGGAATTGCTGGGGAATAATTCAGGCTTGAAAGCCTCAATAAAGACTCCTAACACTCGTGTGTGTGTGTGTGTGTGTGTGTGTGTGTGTGTGTGTGTGTGTGTCCTGAACTTGTGTTAATGGAGTGTAGCTTATTGTGATTCACCACAAACACTTTTAGCATCTCTGGAAGTTTCAAGAATAATTTGTAAAATAGTACAGGAGGACTATAGCTATTAAAAGACAGACTAGGGAGGAGGGACTCTATTGCTTGTATGAGCTTAATATAGCTGTTTGGATAGGCTATTACGCTGCTACTTCTCACTCACTTTCTTGATTCAAGGTAGCAAATTAGCCCCATGGGAAATTTTGTAGGCTCCTGGAATAGGGAATGGCTGAAAAGTAATCAACACTTTCAAAAGAAGCTGTCCCGAGTTGTTTCACTGAACTCCCCTTTACAGTCACATATCCTGTAGGTGATCAACTGTTATTTTAATTGGATGCAGCAAAGCAACCTGGAGACCAGCATTCAACCACTCCTGAGAACTTGGTTTGAGGATTTGGTGTGCCCTATTCAGAGGGTGGTGAAGCTTTTCCAGGAGAAACTTGCCTTTGTGTTACATGCTGTGAGTACCATACGAAGTTCACTCTTCTTGGATCTTTGTTGTGCTTTTGTTTGGGTTTCTTGTTCAACGGGCTGCCTTGTTTATTAGTTGCTTTAGCTGCAACTTTTGTGATAGTCAAAGTATATACAATAAGACTTCACTACTTCAAACAATCTTTAATTGCGCATCGTGTCACCTAGCGTGTGGCTCTTTCTCGAAATTTTACCGGGCACGGTGAGGGTGGAGGGGAGACCACACACTAGATGACGTGATGTGCTAGTTGCTGTCCTTAACATATTATTTCTTTACCTTCAGGAAAGCAACACAACATAGCAGTAGAACTATACTGCAAGGGGCTGTTTGTGGGAAGCGTGAATGGCTTAAACAATTTGGTCAGAAGTAAGGTTTCGACAGCTTGAATAACATCATCACAACACCTTTGGCTTTAAGGAGCACTCGCTTTAAGTTGTACATATAATTCATTTTAAAATTGGGCCAGCAGTTTTAGACACATGGATTTCCCTTAGTTACATGTTTTTAAATATATACATTCAATTATGCTTAGAGAGGGCCCTTAGCTCAAAGAGTTTGAAAAACAGTTTCTCTGCAGATATGAGAGAGAGAGAGAGTAAAATAGGTAGGATGCCAGAAATAATATCTTCTTTCAATAGAGTTTGACTGTTCTTGATATGTTGGCCTTTGAGTCAGTGTTGACACTTGGTGATTGTCTGGATAAATTCCTGCAGTTTTCTTGACGAGATTTTGGAAGTGGTTTGCCATTGTTTCCTCCCTAGAGCCGAGAGAGAGTGTGACTGGCCCAAGACTACCTTCAGGCCTAAGATGGGACTAGAATTCCTAACTTTAAATTACTACACCAAACTGGCTCTAGTTCAGTGGTGGCGAACCTATGGCACGGGTGCCAGAGGCGGCACTCAGAGCCCTCTCTGTGGGCACGCGCACCATCGCCCCAGTCCTGGGCCTTCAGCTGGGTTTTATAAAACCTTTTTGCTTTAGGCGTCCGCCGTGTGCAAAAAAAAAAATTTCAATCAATCAGTCAATTTCAATTTCTCACGGGGGGGGGAATAGATCTTGCAAAGTTGGAATTGATTGATTGAACTTTTTAGTCCCACCCAGTCTGCCGTTACCACCGCAGCCACGTCCACCCAATGGGCCACGCCCACCCAATGGGCCACACCCACCCGGCACCCGACAATGCATAAGTGGGTTTTGGGTTGCAGTTTGGGCACTCGGTCCCTAAAAGGTTCTCCACCACTGCTCTAGTTTATCAATATTTGAGGTCAAATTCTTGCTTGATCAGGAAGCCCTCTGGCCTTTGCTCATTATCATTTTAACACAACTGAAGCTGTTTGAAAATAAAATGGAGGCCAGGGAGAAGTTTACATACACAGATGGTCCTTGACTTGCAATCATTCATTGAGTTCAAAGTTACAACCACACTGAAAAAAAGTGACTTATGATCAGTTTTCACACTTAACAATCGTAGCAGCGTCTCCACGATCACACGATCAAAATTCGAATGCTTGGCAACTGGCATGTATTCGTGACAGTTGCAGGGTCCCAGGGTCACTTTTTGCCACCTTCTGACAAGCCAAGTCAATGAGGAAGCCAGATTCACCCTGCTAATGCTTAACAACTGCAGTGATTTTTTTAACCAGCGTGGCCAAAAAAGGTCATTAAAAACGGGGCAAAATTCACTTCACAATTGCTTTGCTGAGCAACAGAAATGTTGGGCTAAATTGTGGTTGTAAGTCGAGGACTAACCTGTACATGCTGAGGGGCCGGGAAGAGGAAGGAAGGACAAAAACGAACGGACAGATGTTCAACTGACACCTGTTGAAAATGAAATTGCTGGTTGATAACAGCATAGCCCTTTACATCTGCTGGGCAATAAGGCCAAGTGTTTCCTGAGACAGATAAAAGAGTATAGAATTGCAGTCTTAAGGCTAGGTCATTATACCAAGTGGTGACGCTGGGTCTGCTCTTTCCAGGCTCTGAGTTGCAGTCCTGTTGAAGTGAATGGATCTGAAGAAAAGACAGAGAAGGATATCAACAGGTAAGCAAAGGTCCCTCAGGATGATATTTCTCGGGGGCACCCTTGCTCCTTTTGAGATAACTGCTTAACGGAACTTGACTCTTGACTTATACATCCTGGAAATCTGTTTACATCCTTTTCCAGGTTCCTTCGAGCAGCAAGTTTTCAAGATCTGGTCAGGGAAACTATGATGACTTCCTCGTGCACAGCTGCAGCAACAGAGGAGCAGTGCAAATCAGTGGTGATTGACTTGAATGGGCCACAGCTTTGCTTCCACAGCGCAGGTAAGCTTACGAAGGAGATGCTTTAATAATAATAATAATAATAATAATAGTAGTAGCAGTAGTAGTAGTGTAGTAGTAGTAGTAATAGTAATAATAATTGCAAAAGGCGGCCTTACTAGGAACTGCTTCCATCCTGTGATGATATCTGTAATACCATCAAACATCCACATCTGCCTGTCCCAAGTCCTGGGTAAGGGCTCGATAGGTAGACAAAAATGCCAAATCCAGTTTGAACATCTGGCTGACTGTGCGATGATCAATAATAATAATAATAATAATAATAATAATAATAATAATAATAATAATAATAATAATAATAATAATAATAATAAAGTTGGAAGGGACCTTAGAGGTCATCTAGTCCAACCCCCTGCTCAGGCAGGAAACCCTATACCATTTCGGACAAATGGCTGTCCAGTCTCTTCTTAAAAACTTCCAGTGTTGGAGCATTCACAGCTTCTGGAGGCAGGTTGTTCCACTGGTTAATTGTTCTAACTGTCAGGAAGTTTCTCCCTAGTTCTAGGTTGCTTCTGTCCTTGATTAGTTTCCATCTGTTGCTTCTTGTCCTGCCTTCAGGCGCTTTGAAAAATAGCTTGACTCCCTCTTCTTTGTGGCAGCCCCTGAGATATTGGAACACTGCTATCATGTCCCCCCTTGTCCTTCTCTTCATTAAACTAGACATACCCAATTCCAGCAACCGTTCCTCATATGTTTTAGCCTCCAGTCCACTCCACTTCTAGCACCTGAGTGGTGCTCAGTAACAAGAGCACAAGGAATGTTGAGAGGCTGGTGTTATTTTAGACCTCTCTACAAAGACAGTTGTTTAAGGGAGAATCTTATTTGAGTCTAGCCTTACTTACTAGCATTCATCTAATATACTCAAATATAGCAAATTGATTCCCAGATTTGGAAGGCTTATCACCATGGACCAATACAGAGATTTTGATTGGGTCATTATTCCATATAAATTGCTTTGTTATTTGCTTCATTTAAAGAAGCCCAGAGCAAATCCAAAAGGTGGTCCTTTGGGAAAAACAGTACTTTTCTTTCTTTCCTTCTCTCTCTTGAAAGAAAGAAAGAATTCTGAAAGGTCGCTGTCAATTTTTTCTTGGTCTTTATGGCATGCTTCAGATTCATTAGAACATTATGCAGTGACACCCTAAAGCTACAATTTGGGGTCCCTCCAGAGGCTTAAAACTGTCAAATCCAAAAATTGCCAGATAGCAATTCCTAGAGGAATGGAAATCTGACACATGTTTTAAGTCATCAGTTTGAACAAGGCTGGCCTAGAAAATTGTATCTTCAGCATCTCTTCAAACTCACTGCTGGTCTACTAAAGCGTTGATGGCATTTTATGTTATGCCACAAAGCAATTAAGAAAAACTCTTGATCCAAGCTAGAAGCTCATTGTTACTGAGTGTTTTGTGCACCCAAAGGCTTCTATAAAACTCAGAAACAGCCTCTCTATGCTGTTGGGCCTTAAATATATATTCTTTTGCTATCATGTGTCATTCTTTACTTAACATATGTGGTATTTTCCCAAGGCCTTCCTGTCCTCTACCATCTTCTGGAGTCCCTTTAAGCTCATGCCTACTGCTTCAGTGACTCCATCCAGCCACCTCATTCTCTGTCATCCCCTTCTTCTCTTGCCCTCAATCTTTCCCAGCATTAGGCCCTTCTCCAGTGAGTCCTTCCTTCTCATTAGGTGGCCAAAGTATTTGAGTTTCAACTTCAGGATCTGGCCTTCTAAGGAGCAGTCGGGGTTGATCTCCTCTAGGACTGACCGGTTTGATCGCCTTGCAGTCCAGGGGACTCACAGGAGTCTTCTCCAGCACCATAGTTCAAAGGCCTCAATTCTTTGGCACTCGGCCTTTCTTATGGTCCAACTTTCACATCCATACATTGCAACTGGAAAAACCATGGCCTTGACTATACGCACTTTTGTTGGCAGGGTGATGTCTCTGCTTTTTAGTATGCTGTCTAGATTTGCCATAGCTTTCCTCCCCAGGAGTAAGCGTCTTTTAATTTCTTGGCTGCAGTCCCCATCTGCGGTGATCTTGGAGCCCAGGAAAATAAAATCTGTCACTACCTCCATTTCTTCTCCATCTATTTGCCAGGAATTTGGGTTTTCTTAATGTTGAGTTTCAATTAGAGTTTTATCCCATCTTTATTCTTTTTATAAATAACTCAAGGCACCAAGCATACCTAATGATCCATCCTCCTCCTATCTTCCCCTCAACAACAACCCTGGGAGGTGGGCTGGACTGAGAGAGAGGGACTGGTCCAAAGTCACCCAGTTGGTTTTCATAGCTAAGGTGGAACTAGAACTCACCGTCTCCTCGTTTCTAGTCTGGTGCTTGTATCATGAGACCACATTGGCTTTCAAACCTTGCTGCTGGTCCTCCTTTCCTCTTTACTTCCACCTTTCCCAACATCGGAACCTTTTCCAGAGAGTAGGGTCTTTCCATAGTTAGTCTAGATAAGAGCAATCATTTACATTTTGATCCTTATTTATCTGCAATTGTGAGATTGATGGCCAAAGAGTAGCATCCTGAGCCTGTGCATTCTTGAAGCCTCAGGAAACCATAATACTCTCTTCCTTTGTAAGTGGATAAGGAATATCAGTCTTGTAGAAAACCCTTTTCAGGTAACTTTGAAGACATCTGTAAATTTACTGCATTGACTGAAATAATCAGATTTTTCTTTTTTTCCAACAAATGTCTCAGGAACGAATAGGTTCTGTGAGGATTGGACACAAGCATTTCTGAACGTTTCCGAAGGGGGCAATCCCTTTCTTTTTCGACAAATACTGGAAAACTTTAAATTGAAGGTAACTATCAGTGCTGGGCAAGAACAATGGGAATTGTAGTCCAAATGCATCAGCCGGGGCACTGGCTTAGAGATGGCGGCTATTTGTGATCTTTAGAAATCGTGGAAGATGAAACCTTTCATGTACCGTAATTTCTTTTGAGTCTCATGTGTTTCCCAACTCACAAATCATAATCTTATTTTAGACAAAGAACTGGGTTTAAATTAATCTCCAGTAGAAACCAGCGGCAAAGTTTCTGTTGTTCTAATACTACCGGATTGCTTCTTTACCAGACACCACTGGCTTGGATCTTCATGCTGAGACACAACAATTGTGGCTCAAGTATATTTGTTCTAAAGCAGTGCAATCTGAGTCCTGTGTTATAAAGGGTGGCTTTTGCCTGCGTGATTTGATGCTACCACAACAACAGCCTTGCAGTGTAGGAACACATAATATTGATTATTTATTTATTTAGCATAAGGCATACAGGTAGTCCTCGACTTACAACCATTCATTCAGTGACCGTTCGAAGTTACAGTGGCACTTAAGAACATGACTTGTGCCCATTTTTGCAGCATCCCCGTGTTGATGTGATCCAAATTCAGATGCTTGGCAGCTGGCTCCTGTGACGGTCGCAGTGTCCTTGGGGTCATGTGACCATCCCCTTTTGCGACCTTCTGCCATACGAAATCAATGGGGAAATCCAGATTCACTTAACAACCGTGTTCCTAACTTAACAACTGCAGTGATTCACCTAGCAACATTGGGAAGACTGGTTGAAAAAAATGGGGCGAAATTCACTTTAACTGCCTCGCTTAACAACAGAAATTTGGGACTCAGTTGCCGTTGTAAGTCGAGGACCACCTGTAGAGCACAGGGGCAGCAGTAATAAAATTGTATAGAAGGAGCACATAACACTATGGCACACGTATGATGGGAATGTGTAGTCAGTTTTGTAAGGCTTGAGGAATTCAAAAACATTTAAGTTATAGATTACATTTTAAATACGTCGATTCATAAGAGTCAAATAAGTGTTCTATATATTTATATCTAGGCCATTTATCCAATGAAACGTTTGTTAGTTGGAGGATGTCTGCTTTTCCTCCTGTATAAGCTGGTTTAGTTTGAAGATGAGAAGTCCTTCCTACTAAATTTCTCATTTACTGCTCCCGATTCCTGAATATTAACATGCAGCATGCAGGAGGTGCAGGAGTTTATATTAGTGTCCAGAGAACCACCGTATGTGTACAATACATCTATTGGCGGTGGACAGCAGCAGCCTGTCCTGCTTGCCCTGCAGGGGGAAATCATCCACCCTTCTTGCCTGGTGGACTGTGTGCAACTGGCTTTATCCGAGTGACACTATCAAGGAAGAGACTATGTGGATCAGGGTTTCTGTGTAGGCTTTCTCAGCTGGATCAGGACACCTGTTGTACATGTTGGCTGCTCTCTTTCCAGGCCATACAGGACATCAACAACCTGAAGCGGTTCATCCGGCAGGCAGAAATGAGCCATTACGCGTTGTTCAAGTGCTACCTGTTTCTGAAGAACTGCGGCAGTGGAGATGTGCTCTTGAAGATTGTCAAAGTAGAATATGCAGAAATGCAGGAAGCCAGGAATGTCATCAGCGTGCTGGAAGAATTCATGAGAGACCAGCTTGGAGCTTAAATCCTCCTCGTGAACCGAGGGTGGCTTGTACAGTACCAAATCGGCGTGCCTCCATGTAGGATCACAGTGCTTGAGCATGTAGGCCATTGTTGTGTTAAATCATGTGTTACTTACCGTGGAGAGCTGCACTCGGTCCCAGCTCCTCACAGGACACAAACATGTGGTCCAGGAAAAAAAAAACCCCTCCCATAGCATCTTCTGTGAGGTTGAGTTAAATTGGTATTTGTTAGCATGGAAACGAGCTGAATATTCAAGTGTTCGCTCTCCTCTCTGCTTTCTCTTGTCTGTCTGGCTTGCAAAACCACCGTCACTTGGTATCCAAAGTGGGTTTAGGCTTTCCTTATAAACCAGTCAAAAGCAGGATCAATCCATAGTTTGCAATCCCTACATGTTAGGCCGCAACTTTCAGTAAGAGCCAGCTGCTATAGACGAAGAACAATGGGGTTGATCTAGACTTCAGCATAGTGTGTGGATCCAGGCTATACTTCCTGGAGACAAAATAAGGGTAAATGGTTTTGTCACCACTAGTCACTTGGGTGGAAGGGGGTGTCAGTGTAGCTGTCCAAATGGCTTTTGAGTGGATACATGTACAGATCTTGGCTAGCTAAAAGCAGCATAGTTGCACGTCTGGATCAAGCATATGGATTTGCTCCTATTCTCTCTTGCTGTTATACACACACACACACACACACATACAAATCTCATCTCAGCAACAAGCTATTTACCTTAAAGCAGGGCAGCTAAACCTGAAGCGCCAAATAAATTTACACATCGGTCAAATGAATTATTATTATTTATATTTGTACTTGTAAAACCTGACCCCATTTTTACAAGTTGTAGATAATGGGGTTTTGGTGAGGTATGCTTATATCAACCACTCACGGGGTGGGGGTGGGGATGGGAAGAAAGCTGAACAGTACATCCGAAATAAAATCTATGCACAAAATTGTTCGTGGAAAACTATACTTAACGTACACAATAGAAAAAAATATTTTGACATTTCTTACATCATGCTGCTTTGCACGTCCACTCTTTGCTTGAATAGCCCTTGATGGGAAAAGCCTGTTCTATTCAGCATATTTTTAAGGCAGAATCACTTTGTTTGGTGCTATAACAATAAGCCATGGAAGAGGATATTAACCGTATAGGAAAATAAAGGTTCATACTTTCTTGCATTTGCTAATTCAGTGTACATTGTGAGGCAGTGGAATCGACACGGTGACTAATAATGAGTATTAAATTTGGCGAACATTGATGTATTTTTGCTGCATAAATTCAACCTGTAAAATTCTGTGAGCTCCGATTTGCATTCTGTTTGGAGATCTTGGAGAGGCTCAGAAAGCTTTCTTTAATGCGGAACTGTTGAGTAATTAGGGTATTAAATGCATTCACCTTCAAGCAAGGTTGGCTTTGTTCCTGTTTCTGTTCATTGCTAAACTGAAAGATTGAATACATCTCTTGTACCGCTTGTTCTGAACACAGGAAAGGTGGTTCCTAGTAAGCAGGGGTAGTGTTGGACTTGAATTTTGGGGTCGAAGTGCACTGAGCGGGGTGAGGGTGGAGGGGCGATGTTGGGTGACAAGCCCAATTCTGATTCAGGGCCCAGTTCAGTAGCATGAGGAAGAGAGTTCCCAAAGTCTTAAAGGATTTTGAATACAGTTTGAGATAAAGTATTATTTAATAAGGCCATAGTTTGAGATTATTAAGCCGAATCTTTAGCCCTAAATGCTTACCATTCAATTATTTGTAGAAAGCGGTATCTTTTTAAAACAAAAAACAAAAATTCAGATATGAATCACCCAGGAAGTATAGCATCTAGCCTGGTAATAAATTCCTACGTGCTGTGAAAAATGTGACGTCTAAGGAGATGTACAGAGGTCAAGACCACAGTTGAATGGAACAGTTCTATAGAACCAGCGAAATTCACCAGAATTGGCAGAGAAGAAAGAAGCTGGCAACTGGAAAAAAGTAGATTGGGTTCTCAGACTAGGCCAAGGGTAGGCCACCTTGGCTCTTTTATGACTCGTGGACTCCAACTCCCAGAATTCCTGAGCCAGCCATGCTGAGGGGAAAGGGAGAGGTTTCCAAGCTGAGCCATGCTGGCTCAGGAATTCTGGGAGTTGAAGTCCACGAGTCATAAAAGCCAAGGTTGCCTACCCCTGGCCTAGGCGGTTACTACTACTGATTTTTCCTTAAAAATATTTTTTTAGGAAAATTGATACAGGTAGTCCTCGACTTAACGACCACAACTGGGGCCAGAATTTCCATCGTTAAGTGAGCCACACCCAATTTTATGACCTTTATTGCCACGGTTGAGTCACTGCCGTTTAGCGAATCTTGTGGTTTTTAAGCAAATCTGGCTTCTCCAATTGACTGCTTGTCAGAAACCAGCTGGGAATGTAGCAGATGGGAGATTACGTGACCCTGGGACAGTGCAACTATCCCAGAGGTAGGCAACCTTGGCTCGTGGACTTCAACTCCCAGAATTCCTGAGCCAGCCATGCTGAGGGGAAAGGGAGAGGTTTCCAAGCTGAGCCATGGTGGCTCAGGAATTCTGGGAGTTGAAGTCCACGAGTCATAAAAGAGCCAAGGTTGCCTACCCCTGAACTATCCAATACAAGCACCTGAATTTTCACTGCGTGACCGTGAGGAGGCTGCAATTGTCATAAGGGCGAGGGCCAGTTGTAAGTCACTTTCTTTAGGGCCGTTGTAACTTCAACTACATGAATGGTTGTAAGTTGCTTGTACTGCTATTGGAAGAACAGAGCTGCAGGAAAATATTACTGGGATGTTAGGTAAACATGATGGCGTTTACACAATGCTCTATATGGGAGCGTTCAAAAGAATGAGGAAATCACTGTAATGTTCCTCTCTCATATCTTCCAATATCTTTTGAATTTAGAACATCATAAATGTATTACTACAGCTCCGGGATTATGTTAGCCATCTATACAAAATCAGGAAATGACACCCAGAACGGTTCCCCCACCCCATGTGCAACATCTGTAAATTCTCAGCCAGCATGACTGAGCACTACTGTTCCTAGGAGACGTTCATGTTGAAAGGCTGATGTGGCTATGTAGTTGGGGTATACGGCTGCCAGCAAATCCCCCTTGTCAAATTAGGAAAAAAACTGCTCCAGTGTCTTTTTCCCATCAGCTTCCGTTCTTTGTCCCTTCCTGTCCAGAGTCCTGGCATTTAAATAGCAGAAAACCAGTCTGAAGAGCTTTTGGGATCATTTCCTGAGATAAGCTGCTCTGCCATTACTTCTGTGTACATGGTATATTTTAAACGCATTCGACACTGATAGCTATTACTTAATAAGCTGTGAACATTGAAACTGTTGATTAACATTAACACCTTAAAACAGTTCACTACTTCAGACCTAAAGAGAAGAAATATTGTTAACAGTTCTCCTGTATCTGTGAGATTTTCCTTGTTAAACCATGGTTACCCAAGATGTTTGAATCAGACTAAAGTAGTGGTAGGAGGCAAGATACTTGGGTCTGCAGCTCCTGTTCACTATGCTTTTTTGGGGGAGCCAATGAGGCTGGGAATCCGACATCTTAAGAGTAACTGGTTTCTCCTTCACCTAATTTAAACAGTGGTTCATAGCACAGATCAGAACCAAGACGTATTTGGGGATCCTGGTTTGTTTCTTGCCTTTGGCCATCTGGTTTGTTAAAAAAAAGGCACATTGCTGATTGGAACGTTTTGCTATTATTTGAGGATACAGCATTTGTTCATATGGCACAAAAAACCATTGATTTCTGACCAGAATTAGATCTAGTCTGTTTCCAATACTAAATGTACACTAAATTCTCTGGTCATCACATCTGTACCGCAAAAGGGCGCTGAATTATAATTTATAGAGAAGGAAGCTGTGTAATCTTTTCCTGCCTTCTTTTAGTTAAGAAACAAAAACTGAATACCCGCTTTCATTTTCTTTGACTAGTTAAAAAGCAGGCTGTACCAAAACACCGGAAGGGAAGATGTACAGTATATAGAGAAAGGATTAAGCTCTCTCATCCGTACCTTTCTTCTGACAAATTGTACTCCTGATTGTAAGCCAGCTATCAAAAGCTGATCGAGCCCAGCAACATTTTCCCTTTTTTGGATGTTCAGTTCAAAACACACCCAGAAATTATAGCAGATCTCAAAACCAGTCTGAATGCTAAGTCTAACTGTGTTGTGTGTCCCACAGACTCTCAATAGGGAAGTTCTCAAACTCCAGGCAGAAATGTCTCTAAAATAAAAAACAAACCCAGTGATATACAGCTATCTTTCTGCCTAGGACAATTTAAAAAAAAAAATAAAAAAATCCCATGATACTAAACTATACTAATATTCACTCCCGCTTGGAGAGGTGCCATCAATTTAAGAGCAGGCTGTGTCCAGGAAACATCAGCTTGAAAAATGGTGAATGCAGCTCTTTGAAAGATAGCTACCGTATCTACACATTACCTTGTCCCCACTCAAGCTAAGCAGTGTTCCCTTCTCATGACCTTTCCTGTTCCTGTTCAGTTGCTTTTAAAACTGCATTATGATTCTTCATCATGAAAGAAAAGAGCTTATCTGATTTTACACTTTCTGCTTCTCAGCCAATCATGCAAAACGTAGCTGAAGATGAAACTACATCCCCATTGATATTTTTAATCTCTCTTTTTGATAGCAGTGCAATGGTTTAAAATGTGTATGTCAGGGAAGTTATCAGAGATTCTGGGCAGAGCAGAAAATGCTAGGAAGGAGTACAGGATACAAAAACTATCTGTGCCAGACCAATTCTGTAAACTAGCCGGAATATTTGGACCTAAGGGAAAAAATACGCCACTCACTGAAACAACAATACTCCCGAATAATTTGATATTAAATGCAAGTTTAACTCCCAAGTTCTTCCATCTTGTGATACTGGAATAGTGAAATAGTAAATTTGTCTCAGAATAGATGGGTGAGTGGAAGGAAGGCTGGAAAGCCGGATTTGTATATTATATTGAGAACCTTTACACTACGTATCCCGTTGTGGGAGAAAGCAATGTTGTCCCTGGATCATGATGGAGTG